CAAATCCGACATTAACGTATATGTATGAAGTATCAGGACTGACAAAAATATTAACATTAATTAACAATCTCGTTGACAAATGACAAAAGATAATATTAACTATAAATACATGTTTGCGTGTACGTAGAAATTAGACCCCAGATCAACCATCGTCTTCATCTTGTGGAGACTGTTCTCTTGAATCAGCTGAATCTGACGCTTCAATTTCAAACTATCGTATAGTCAAATGAAACTAATTAACGATATTGTTTGATAACTAAGGAACAGCCGTACTATCTTCTACACTTTTCACAGATAACTTACTACTCGGAAAGCTGTTCATATACCTCATCCCTCAGATCCAGAGCCGTCTTCAAGTATATTTTTAACTTATCATTGATAAAAGACTCGTATTCTGTAATTTTCTCTTGAATGGTTTGAGTCTGTGACCTGGACATAATAGTGTGCAAACATGAGTGACGTTATTTTTAAGATCGACACTTTTCGCTGTTTTCAAAATTAGTCACCTGAGAAATGATTGCTGTCGTTTTTTGTTAAGAGGAAGCTTCTTGATTTTACAGCGTGATTACAGTGCAGTTTACATTGGATGAAGCAATCGATTTTATAAACAAAAAAGAGAAACTCTTGGAAAAGTGCGTGCTATTTTGATTCTTTAGTATCTTGTCAGTTCTTACTAATATGTGGTCGTTTTAACAGAAGAGCAGATCAGTATTCAAAGACAGCTGCAAAGGTTAACGCGCACATTGCAATGGTAAGTTAAAATATGATTCAGGGTTTATTATTAGGAATAGTAATTATTAGATTCACAATACTTATATTATCCTTATAGGTATTAGAAGCAATAAACGAAATATTAAATTTGAAAGATGAGAAAAACCAAAGTAGCAATACATAATATTCAGAAATCTAAATGCACACTTTTTAATACCCACAATAAATGACTAATTCGCATGCATGTATGAATAAGCTGATTTTACCCTCTGCTCAATTTATCAGCATTAGTAATTTTCGCAAAGATTATATCAAATTTATGGACTCAGGCATACCAAGTGTCCTCATTTTGTCTTTGAGGGAAGCGACACATTAAAACAATGCAATAGAAGGAAAAGGAAGACTATTTTGTAATTAGTAGTTGGATACGAGCATTGAAACGACTTTGCTTGACTTGTAAAGACTAAAAACATACTTATTCCCGACACATAACACCTGGCTCTGGTTTTATGATCGATAGAGAGCGTGGACTTGGTACGAAAAAGATTAATCCATAAGCAATTGAAATAAAGACATCATTTAAGAGGTATAGTGGACAATAACAGACTATGGTCTTGGCTTTACTCTAAATGTTGGTGGCTCAATGACACTTGCATGCGCTATTAGAAACCACTTCACTTTACAATGCAAAGCAATAACTATTATTAAAATAACTCAATTACCAAGAATTGCCCAGGTAAAAAAGGAAGATAGAACCTCGATAAAAGATTAGTTGACGACAGAGAGGTAATGACACGATATGTTGTCAATTACGACAATATATTAAAGACGGTAAATCTTAGGTTGGCAAAGATGTAAGTTATACCCAACGAAGCTTTTAATAGTATTATTTGGTCAGAATATATTTCTCTCATGCAATTCCTCCGTTATAGTTTCAGAGACTGTCTATTTATTATTCTCGACTATTTGTCATTCTTCACTAGTTTAGATTTTTACAGTTCGAGGTAAGAAATATTATTTCGATATTATCACATAAATATGTGATTAATAGACAATGTGCTTAATATTAATTTGAATTAGGTCATAAATATATATCACATAGCATGCGTACTGCAGATCTCCGGAAAAAACAGCTTCGAGTCTTTGTATGTATGCTTCATTCTTTCTACAGCTTCCCTCTCTCCAGAAATGGCCTTAAACCATAGGGCCATAATATTGCCAGTCTTTCCTTTTTGATCTCGACTATTTAATGCTCTTTTCTCAATGATAATATACTCGATGTGTTGTTGCATCTTTACATAACGCCTAGCGGCAATGTGGCATGTTCTTCTAGTACTTGTACTGTACACGTGTGATGACGTTTCTTTGTCACGCGATTGATGCCTTTTCCACCCCGCTTCACGTACACTCAGCATCACGTCGCATCTTGATACTAATGTTTTCATTCTCTCAGAATATCAAGCAAGAAACTGACTCGGACGACTCCGTTTCAATGGATTTCGATGGAACGTCCAAGTCACCCAAATCGCGTCGCACAGTGACACCAAACACGTCTCAAAAACCGCGAAAGCGCAAAGAAGACAATGACGGCGAGAAAGCTCCTATTTCCAAAGGCAAGAAAAAATTAAAAAAGGCTGACGATGAGGGCGAGCATACTACTGCTGAACAAGGGAAAGCATCAGGAACGAAGAAGACGAGGTAGGTTCAAGTAATTTAATGTGTGTGATACTTGGACAACTTTCTGAGCAGTAACGAATTACCAACTCGTTCGATAGTCATTACTTTCAATATCTACAGAAAAAGACCGGTCCCGTTGCTCCTGGATCCAAATCAATTCCTGTGGGAGCTGAGAATTGTTTAGCTGTAAGCCAGCAATTAAAAGATTTCGTCAATGTTAGTGGTTTTAGTTACATTACTTACGATCGTGAACTTTCTGCAGGGCCTTACTTTTGTTTTTACTGGAGAATTAGAGTCACTGTCGCGCGAAGAAGCACAAGATTTAGCAAAACGCTATGGAGCGTTAGTATAATGTGCTTAATTTCTGCACGTGATTTGAAGATAAATACTCTCTAAGCAGATGTCTCGATCGCTTACATACAATCAATAATTTGTATAGCAAAGTGACTGCTGGCCCGAGCTCCAGGACATCCTACGTCGTGGTTGGTGCAGACGCGGGCCCAAAGAAGCTTGAAAAAATCGATCAACTTAAGATTAAGACCTTAACAGAAGATGAATTTCTTGAATTTATCAGAACTAGTCCTACACGAGACAATATAACAACCTCAAAATCCAGCAAATCAACAAAAAAGGCAAAAGCCGTTGAAGATGCAAAGATGCTCGTTGATGAACCTGTGAAAGCTTCTTCTTCAACAAGGTAACTTGGGTTGAATTCCTTTGTTTTTTGGTCGTTTTAAGACAAAATATCACACAATGTCTATTACAGTAACTTACAAGGCCCAGTAGCACAGCTGTGGGTTGATAAGTATAAACCTCAAAAGTTGACGGAAGTTGTTGGGAATCAAGCACAAGTCACAAGGCTTCAGAAATGGCTGGAACAATGGTATACTTTTGTAATTTTGTATATGAGTGTTTTAAATTCGAATGGGGTACTGATTTTATTCAACTAATTACAGGGAAGCTAACCTTCGGAGTGATTTCAAACAAGTTGATAAAAATAATCTTGCATATAGAGCAGCGCTTCTATCTGGGGCTCCAGGAATTGGAAAGGTAAGAGAAATGGTAAATCATTGTGTCTGGCAATTGGATAAATTACAGCCGTTTGATGTTTGCATTTGCTTGTAGACTACAGCGGCACATCTAGTAGGTGAACTGCAAGGATATGATATCATGGAATTTAATGCTAGCGATACTCGCAACAAAAAAGCAATCGAAGTATGTATGAGCTTATCCTGCTATGTAATAAATCGCAAGTTTCCTGTGCTAAACCTTTTGCCTTTACAAGAATGCCATAAAAATAGCTACTAGTAACCGTTCTATTGCTGGGTATTTGCAATCTGAGACATCCAAGATAAAGGCAGATGAGAAAGGCAAGCATAAGGTAATATATATACAACGTCTGCTATTAGTGTTGTAAATTTACTCTGAACCAAGTCGGTTTTTTAGGAAAAGACGACACCTAGCAAGAGCAATAAGTTACTTATTATAATGGATGAAGTTGATGGCATGTCTGCCGGTGATCGTGGTGGCATTGTTGAACTGACTTCTCTCATAAAAAAAACACAAGTACGATAAACACATATTGTGTGTGTGCATATGTCACATTTTAATGTTTATCGAGGCTTTTATCGTAACATTGAGTTTTTTATTTTTGTAAAAGGTTCCAATTATTTGTATCTGTAATGATCGCCAGTCACAGAAACTTAAAACGCTAGTAAATATTTGCTTGGACTTGAAATTCCAGAGGTATGTTTATCGTGATTTTTTGGAGTTGTTGCTGTAATGTTAATCGCTAATATAATGTGTCCATTCAAAGACCGCGTGTCGAGTCTGTGAGATCGAGAATATTGACAATTGCTTGTCGGTATGTATATTGCTCGCGTCTGTGATTTGCTCGAGTTTTTTCCCCTTTCAAACGTAAGTTAACATGTTGTTGTTCTAGAGAGAATGTTAAAGTTCCACCAAATGTTATTGACCAGCTTACGTCAAGTGCACGGTCTGACATTCGTCAAGTCTTAAATATGTTGTCAACGTATTTTCTTTCTGCAAAGAATATTGATTATGATCAAGGGAAAGCTTTGTATGTAAACCCAGTTGTTTTTGTATAGTTTCGTTTAGGTGGGGTTTTTTGAAATTAAAGAATCTTTCGTAAAATCTTCCATGAAGGTCAAAATCATCGGAGAAAAATTTTATTATGAATCCATGGGATGTGACTGCTAAACTTTTTAGTAAACTTACTTGGTCACAATCGAGCAATTTGACAATGTCGGATAAGCTTGAGCTTTATTTTAATGATTATGACATCATTCCTCTTATGGTTCATGTAAGTAATTAGGAACTGCGTATTGCATGTTTTCGATTACTGTGTATTGGTATTAATTATGCTATCCTATCAGGAAAATTATCTCAAACACAATCCCGCGAGAGCTCAACGACTAGCACAAGAAGCCAAATCAAACGTGGCAACGAAACTATATGCGATGGATTTCTTTAGCAAAGCTGCAGATTCTATTTCCGATAGTGATTTACTTGACAGGATGATTCACGGGTAAAGATACCTATAAATGCTTACAAGGATGAATACAAATCGACCTTATCTTTAATTGATATTCAACTGCATCTAGAACACAGCAACATTGGACGTTGATGCCTGCTCACGCTGTAACATCATGCGTCCGACCTGCATCTTTCATCTACGGGGATTCAATTCACACTGGCGGTTATGGCGGGCCATATTCATTTCCCAGGTAATACGACATTGTAATGTGCAATATGTCGCGCTCATTATTCTTGTCGGGGGATTAGTGCTCTTGTCTCTTGATAGTAATAACAGGCTAACGTGATCGATACGTGTACATGTACTTGATGCAGCTGGCTTGGACAGAACTCTAAAGCGCAGAAGCATCAACGTCAGCTTAAGGAATTACATAGTCATATGCGTATGCGTGTATCAGGGGACAAGACTGAAGTGCGATTGAGTTATATTCCGACGCTGGCCCCCGAATTAACGCTTCCATTAGTCGGCGAGGTAACGGAAAGAGATCACCAGCGTTGTTTACCAAGTCACTTGATAATTTAGTAATTTTTAATATCGAATAGGACGGCATTCCCAAAGTCATTGAGAAAATGGACGAATACTATTTGAATAGAGAAGATTGGGATTCGCTTATGGAACTGGGTCTTGGCCCAAATACTGCTAACAGGTTATTGAGTAATGTCAGCACGAAAGTCAAGACTGCGTTTACACGAAAGTAAGATAAGAATATATGTATATATATATTTATGTATACGTATGTGTTGCTGTCTCTTAATGAACTTGTTTATATGTTGCAGATACAATTCTACGACGCATCCAGTCCCCTTGCTCGGTGTCGCAACTGTGAATAAAGCGCCAACATCTGCAGTAGTAGTGCCAGACATAGAAGAAGCTGCCGAGGCGGAAACAATACCACTTGAGGATGAGAATGACGGTGAAGATGAAGGTGAACAAGATATTGGCAAAGACAAGTATATCAAACAGAAAGGTTCAAATGTGTTCAAGGCGGCATCAGGGAAGGGAGCTAAGAGTACCAGAGGAAGAGGGGGCAGTAAGAGTACTGGAAGTGGTAGAAGGAGCATTGGAAGCAGTAGTAGCAAGGCTCGGAGTAAATGATTATTGAAGTCAACAGAAGTAATATAATATGCATAAAATTTTTAATAAATAAATATTGAAGTAAACAGTCATTTGTATATTTGTTTCGCCACAAAAGTTATTAATCTTCTTTATTATCGCAGATATTTGATTATCTGACGTTTCTGTTCCGGCTGATCTGCAGCTCTTCGTTTGCAAACTCGTTTTTTATAATCTGCAAGATGTTTTCTGCGTCATTCCAATATACTATCTTAGACTTGATCTTTGTTGTTGCCGATAGTTTGTCATTAAGGTACTTTTCCAGTCTGAAGCCTTTCCTCACCAATACTGTATCGTTACTGGTCATCTTTGTAGCCGGACAAAAGTCATTTACTGAATCGCCAACATAAAAAACTTTATCATATTTCACGGGACTCGATGCTAAATAAATCTCTAATTCTCGTCCTATGTGAATTATGAATCAAATGAGTTGATTTTGACAACGGGACCAATTGTCATATAATGAATATGTATATGTTATGCATAATACATGTTATTGCTCGCAAGACGCGCACAAGTGTGTTTACCTTTGCACATGTTAACAGAACAATCATTCAAACAGTTGTGTGGTTCGTCGGTGGCTTTGATAAGCCTCTGGACTCGTAATCTTCCGTTCTCGTCCCAAGCGGCAGGATTAGTGATGATGGCTGATACTAGATGGTGCACTCCGTAAGCATTCAAGATGGTTTCAATGAATATTGAATTTGCATCGGATAAGATAATAATATCGGCATTGCCATTTTTCATTACTCGAAGAGTTTCAATCATTGATGGACTCTAATACAAACAGATGCAACCATTACTTTCATATCGTAGCATTAGCTGATTCGAACACGTCGCTACTTACAAAGGGTATCTTTGCTAGAGACTCTTGTATTTGTTCTTTATTGATCCCTTTTTGATAAAGCTCTCCCAGTAAAAGATCTCTATAAACAAGAATCAGAATGTGTTGTTCTCTGATACACTTTAATTGGTTGTTATTACTTACATCAAATCCGTCCATTGAAGCTGCCTGTGTAGTGCAGTTATTTTAAGGCTCAAATCCTTACTTAGATCGTCAAAGATCCAGACATCAGAATTTGCATCGATAAGAGACCTTGAATGGCGTATTAGCATATAGGATTAAACGCAAGGGAATTGATTGTTCGTCGTCTTTTATGCAGCCACATACCAGTCAAAGTCAAAAACAGCAAGACGCTTGGAAGAGGCCATTTCTATCGTTCCAAGTCGAATAAAGAATATGCAATAAATTCCTGTTGTTTTGCCGTAATAAGTTTCAACAAACTCTTACAGAGATGTGAATCGGGCAATTTGAACAACCAGGCAGGCGATAGAGCCGATTGGCAGAATATTATACGAGAAGTGTGTGATGGAAAAGGACTTGCCTAACCTTGTCATAATTGATAATTGATGTCGATGTGATTAACGACTGAGATTTTCCATCAAACTATCTATTCCTCATTTAGTTAAACAGTTCGGGCGTTGTAAGAACCTCTTCACGACTAGAGTTGTTAATTACACAATGTATATTTTAAGTAAGAGCCTCTTGGTTAATATTAAGTGCACGAATTAATATCTAACCATTATAGTGTGACACCTATTTCCGATAATGGGAAACTTCTATATACAATGTCAATGAATCACGCGTTATAGGTAACAGTATGCCGAATTTTACTACTCATAATGTCAAGAAAGCAATTAATTCAAACACATCCAATTTAAAATTAAAGTTGTTTAGCAAGATGGCTACTGTTCGCCCACGCTGTACCAAATTAATGCCGCGAAAAATACTGCCACAAGAAGTCTTCCCTGGTACTAACCATATATGATTAGCTGGTGCCGTGTAACAAGAACAAATACCTTTCTGGTGAGCGTACCTCGAATATTAACATGAACCTAAATAACATGAACAGAGGCGAACGAGCGACTGAGAAACCAAAGCGTGATCCTCCCACAAAGACACTCATTAAAGAGTTAGTCCCAACCGATTCGCGACAAAAGGCGACACACACAAAACTCGACATTATAGATCTACGACCTTTAATGCGTGGGTTCACCATCGAATGTATAATACTCGACGTACGTAAGTATTAGTAAGTGCATATGAACGCTCTACATTGTAATAGCGAATAAAACGTTCACTAAACAGGAACTTGACTCTTGTATTAGTGTTATCACGCAACACAAATTCGGGGATGGTATTCAGCTTTCTTGTAGCAGATACAACGGCAGTATGTACACTGGTTGTATGGCAATACGGAGAATGTCTAAATCCTGGTGACATGTTACGGATAACAAATGGGTTAGTCTATATACATGTACATAGGGCTTTGGTGTTATTCAGTGTAGTTATTCGCTGACAGCGTCTTTACTGGTTTATCAAAGTGAGGTGAGGATATATGATGGAAAGATGGAAATTTGCGCATCTAAACGAGACGGCACCATTCGACGTTATGATGAGTGAGTAATAGACGAGCTTGTGTTGATTGTTGCAAACGTTAAAGAACTCGTATATTGATTCAGACTTTGAATTAATTAGAAATGTAATGAAATTTGTCGAAACAGAAGAACCAAATCTCTCAAAATTTCTATGGTGTGAAGCTCCGTCCAGTCCGTTAGACATTGTAAGTGATCTGATTTCAGTTCTAGCATATATACTGTTTACTAATAACTCCTTTTGTAGATTCCTGTTCAACAACAAGGCTCTCAACTGGAAGAAATTCAGCTTCCATCCACAGCTAAATCAATAGACATCAACTACTACTATTCACCCTCTAATATACAGAGTTCCCACTCTGATAAAAGGCATCGCCCGCAAAGACCGAGTCCTTATTCGCGACCGAATTCAAGGCGGAATAGTGAATGGGATAGGGACAGACGAGATGGAAGTCGAGATCGAGATAGGGATAGAGATCGGGATAGAAGCACGAGAGACATTGGTAGAGAAAATGGAAAAGACGATGAAAAGGATGGCGGAAAGGATATGGGACGAGATAATTTCGAGCCAATAAACTATAAACTCAACTAAATAATTTTCGCATTCCCAATAACATTAAATTTAATCTATGCGATCTTAATACTATGTACAATCAGTAAGCAGATGCTGAGACTTGGTGGATTGATTGGATTCAAGCATACATCAGTGCACATGTCCACTGATTATCGGTCGAACGGATATGCACACAAAGTATAAGTAAAATACAGTCATGTGTAGAACAAACCATGGCTATAATTATTTGATTTGAAAATCCAAATTGAAATAGATCAAGTATTTCTGATGAATGAGTAGCGGAAATTTTCAAAGAATATGCAAGAAATCAGATATCTTAATGATTGAAGCGTATTTAAAGGAATGTTTTTATTTTAGAATTGGGTTACATGATGAGAATTTGACACACCAAAAAGTTGGATAGCAAAAAGAATGTGAAGTTTAACAAGGACTATTAATTGTACAACATAACAAAGACTAACATACAATGAACAATAAGGGTTGAAAATGTTACAATATCAGAACTTTATATAGAAACCAATACATGGGTACTTTACAGTCCTACTTTCTTTTATTGAGAGAAAATTAAAACAAATTATATTGAGACTTTTTTTTTTTGGTGCTTGCAATGCACAAGCAGCCAGCTCGCCTATCTTTTATCATTTCGAAGATCTACGAGTACGAGACCAACCACTCAATGACCATGCTCGCGTTATATCACTGCTCCTCCTCGCGTCAACATTTACAGTACTCTTGCCACAATTCCTCTCGTCCAAGTTCTCGTCATTACTGTCATCCCTATTTAAGTCCAGTTGCATTACTCTAATCATTCTACAATCTTCTCTACCATCCATTCCTGTAATGATAATGCTACTATTAAGATTATCGTCATTATTTGCGGACACGGAATTAACGCCGCCGTCTACAGCAAACTCTGTAGATTCCAGTCGCACATTTTGCGTCATTGCCTCGAATTGCAACAGTGTGCTTGCACGATGGTGCCCATCATCTTCGAGTTCAACGCAGCCTTTGGTAATACCAAATTTATTCCTAAAGCGACGGCGTCGACGTTTAATGCGATATAGAAAGTAAAATAGTGCCCCGGCTAGAAAAGCAAAACTGGTCACACTAATGACTGTCACGTAGACAATCTTGGTTGGTGATAACGATCTGTGCAGGGATTCGTCAGGAAGGGTCGCGAGACCGGTGGGTGATGTAGAAGAAGAAGAAGTGGAAAATATGGTAGAGGATTGAAAAGGTGGATTAAATGGGGAAGCTCCAGTAGGGGGGCTGGGAGAGTTGTTGTTGGAATTAATGGGCGGGTCTGAATTGTTGGGTTTAGTAGGATCCGGTTTATCTGGTTGAGCACCGGATGGGTTTGCTCCCCCGGGCGAATTTCCTCCATCTGATGGCGCATTTCCTCCCGCGTTGTTTCCACCAGATGAATTATTTCCACCGCCTGATGAATTATTTCCACCTCCGGACGAACTGTTTCCACCTCCGGACGAACTGTTTCCACCGCCTGATGAACTGTTTCCACCTACGGACGAACTGTTTCCACCTCCAGACGAATTATTTCCACCCCCAGACGAATTATTTCCGTCCCCAGACGAATTGTTTCCATTTCCAGACGCATTGTCTCCTGTGTTTACAGGGGCTGGAATGACTTGTTTGTTTTTGGGGGGTGGGAAATTAGTTGAAGTGCTGGTTGAAATGCTGGTTGTAGTAGGCGTTGACGTATCATTTTGTGTGCTTGTTGGAGTGTTTCCATCTCCGGATAAACCAGACGAGTTTACAGAGGGCGTAATGACCTGTTTGTCTTTGGGTGGTGGGAAATGTTGGCCATTATCATTTCCGTCAGATGTACTGGTTGAGGTGCTGGTGGTTGAAGTGCTGGTTGTAGTCGGTGTTGACGTATCATTTTGTGTGCTTGTTGGTGTGCTTGTTGGTGTGCTTGTTGGTGTGCTTGTTGGTGTGTCTGTTTGAGTGTTTGTTGAAGTATCTGTTGGAGTTGGAGTGTTCGCGGGAGTATTATTTGATGTTTTAGTGGTTGTGGCGGTATTTGATGTTTTGTTATTATTCTCAGTCTCATTATCATTGCTAGGTAATATGTTAGGTATAATGTCAGGTGACGGTCTGAATGGCATTTATGAAGATAAAAAGAGCGTACATTAATTTTATTATTATAAACGAAAGGAAGGGAAGGGAAGGGAAGGGAATGAAAAGAAGGATAATCTGAAAGAATGAACTAAAAGAATGTAAATTTTTTCGAAAATGGGTTTCGTTCTCTATCCCGGTTATTAATATACAAACTTTACAATTAGCAATCATAAATATCACAACTTTTTGATCTACATGAATTATGAAGCCGTTTATCCAGTGAACGAATGTTTACAGGATAAATTCGTCATGCAATCTGTTACTGACGCTCTGATTGCACCAACGCAATTGTAAATATTCCGGGCTTGCATTGTTCACCAGTATTTACTTTTTTGTTCCTATTCTCGACGGGCACAGTAGACCAAATAAAGTAGCTCTGTTTAATTATCCGATACTAATGGTTGCACTATAAAAAGAATACGTGGGATGATTACGGGTTGAGACAGTGTCGCATACTACGGAATATGTGAGATTATGCAGGGTGTTAATAATTGTGATATTTGCAAAACATTGAAGACGTAATCGGATTCGTATTAGTTATTGTAATACAAATGTGTCTGCGGACTAGTGTTCATCCGGAGTTGTCAAAAAGAAAAGGAGGGTGGAAGGAAAGAGGGAGCAAATATGGATCGTGGTCTCTTACAACTCGTTCTGGTTGGTTGACAGCAACTGTGTAATGCGATTGAGTTCTAGATAACCGTGTATTCTGTTTCCCAAATATCCGCCCGTTGTGTCATTGAAGAGTCGACCAAACACAAAGGGTCATTATTTGAAATTCATTTGACGAATGGATCAACCGTTAGATGTGCATATAACCATGTAAAATAACATAATACATTGCTCAGTCATGTGTGTGTATGTACACCGATGAGTACAAGTTTTAATAACTTGACATCACTATATCGAGAGAGGTATTATCTGAAACAAAATCATTATTATACATTTCTACTTATATACAAGTGCCATATCCTTGTAATAAAAATAGTCAATGATACTCTTACCTCACAACTCTTACATAATAATAATCTCTCACTATTTACAAAAAATAAAAAAGAATTGATGGCAATGTCTATTTTTTAAACGAGTGTCCAACGAATTAATAGTCAAGGAACTGATAGATGCTGTGTGCGTGTGCGTGCATCTCTGTGTATATACCCAAATTACTTCGTTGCCACAGTGTCTTCATATCAAGTTGTCGTGCCCTTCCAGAATAGTAGTTTTCTCTTCAAGCCAGGCATTCTCGACCTAGTCGGAGTTTGGGGGCGAAGAGATACGACATTAACCACGTGATCCGTCCCACCAGCATCTGTATCACGAACCACGATGCTGCGGCCTTGTTGGCCAAGATTAACCGTAAGGCGACGAGTCATGGGTTCTATCTGGAGCATGGATACCTTTGGAAGTGCTCGCTGATATGAAATCGAGGCTGACCGAGAAATTGTCATTGAATTGTTTGAGAGGGGCGGAAGAGTTGTGCGTGAAGTAATAATAGTCGGTGATGATGCTCCGGGTGTGACATGAAATGATGTATCATCATCATCAGTTGTAACGAGCGATCTTGTATACGATGTTGTACTTATTGTACCCATTGTTTCATCCATTGTCGAATCTACGGCAGTCGCCCTTGAAGTGCCCATTTGCGTATTCGGTGTCGTCATTGTCCCTATCTCAACGTCTGCAACATATTCTCTTACGCCAGATCCAATGATAGTGTTCCTCGCCGACTCGTTCCTATTACTGCTCGTCTGCTCTCCTACCCGTATACTCTCTGCTCCGCTCCAACCACTTGCTATCATGGTAGGTGAGCTCAATTGTGACATGGCTGATTCTGTTGCGGATATACTTGAGCGTAATTCTTGTCCGGTGCTTTGACGACGACTTCGGAGGTAGGTAATGAGGAGTACGATAAGTAAAAGAGTTGTTAAAACGGAAAATGCAACGATAAGTGGTAACCTATCGTCTTTGGAGACAGATGCCGATGTACTGTAGGGAGTAGTTGATGTTGGAGTTGATGGTTGTTGGGCTGGGATGGTAAAAAAGATGTGTAAGTTTGAAAGATCTTTTTTGTTGTGGTGGCGGCAATTTGTTGTTATTATTTATATACAGATTATCAGCAACTTACTTGTGATTATCGCTGTTGTTGGTATACTCCCTTCGTTTGTTTTCGATAAAGATGTTGTGGAAGTGAAGGTTGTAGTCGAAGTGGGAGTTGTTAGAGTACATAGGTCTGCTCGAAAGCAGGATGACATCTGAGCATTTGTTCGACGGATGCTAACATAACACACAAACATGGGAAAATTGCGTCGGCGTATTTATATTGTTTAGCGGGTCTTATTGTACTTGATATAAAATGTGACTATTGAATGTATGGGGATCATCAATATTAAGCAACTGCAAAGTAGATTATCCTTCGATGCCCATTCTCGGCAACGCACAGGAAGATCGTCTAGCAAACAAAACCCGTCGTATTACATGACCTTAATAATGTAGTGTGGCTGAGCATATTAGACAAGGACAGAACTTCTTATAATAGCACATTGCTACCGCAAAGAGGCAAAAACCAAAGCATAATGAACCATAGCAGTGAATAAAAAGGACAAACATTTCAGTAAAATAACGTAATTGCAATATATGCATGTAATAATACCCAAGTTTAGCAAATTGTGTCGAAATAGCAAGATAATAATTAAGTAATTATAATAATTGTGACATGAGGCGTTATATTTCATCTACCCGTTACACTGGATGAAGAATCTTGCAAGCCCCCTCTCTATATGTGAATAGGAGCGACCATGAGTTAAGAGTAATTGCATATTCTTTATTGTTGCAGACAATGTGGTTCTCATGCTTATTTTCATACTTAATTTGTCGTAATGGCATGCAGAATAATGCTTCATGCACAGTACATCCATGAAACAATTATTTCAGTAAAAAATGATGCAATTATATTTAATTAACGTAAGAATAAAACCCCGTATAGAACAGTTATAATAGTAAACCGGGTTATCCCGTATGAGGCATATAAAACATAATCTCTCTATCTCATAGAGGACAACAATCAATAAGCGGTAGAGGACTGTAAATTACGGGCAAAGTAACGGGCAAAGCCCAGTAACGGGATGGGGTGTACACAAGATGCATGTCAAAGAATAAAGAGGAAAACAAGTAACGAAAAAAAATTTTTTTTTTCTCCGCCATTGCAGTCTTCTTGGCCTTGAAAAGAAGAGGTTGCATTATGTTTCTATTCTTAGAGTTGTAGCAAATTTGGGTTTATGCATTGTCTGTCACATTCTAATCCCATTAGAGAACTGTGATGTAATCGAACAGTCCACATGACCCTAATTACTAATTAACGTCTCAAAGATCATGCGATGCGTACTGCTATGGTTTGAGATATGCCCTGCGTTTTAGCAAACAAGTCTTGGCCTGCTTCAGTTCTATGCTTTTATTGCATGAGCTTTGTTATTTACATTGCCCAATCTTGTTCGATTGGCGCACAATGACAACGGGAATGGCGGATTTACATCTTTGGCAACGTTCGCAGTCCTAATCGTTACGAGTAATTGTTCCGTTCTTACGCAGTAAATTGTGGGTAATACCAATTTCTACCTATACCGTTGGTTCGGTAAACATTAAGGAATCGATATTATATTGTGTTTTCAGTGAAACATGTAAAATTTTCCGCTTAGTTCAAAAAAGGTGAATTTCTAATATTTTGCAATAATTTGTCCTTATAAGAACAAACCCCATTCACAGTTTATCGCTATCGAATCAGTACTGAAGATCCGTATCTTATCTATGATGAACGTTTGTCATGCAACACACTAGGCTAAACATCTTTACTCATTCCATGGGGCTCAAAAGAAAAGTAATTCATAAATTTCATTAGATCTTATCATAATGCATAATTTCTTTGATTATAGCTGTCAAATTGTACATGGAATAAACCCTTGGATACAACCAAATCCCTTATTAGCAAGTAAAAAAAAAAGTGCCGTAAACGTTAAAGCTATTTGTGATAGCAGGGTAAGAACAGAAATCGAGCGAGGAAGAAATTATTAGTTATATCACGAGATACCTGTTGTGGTTCGCTATTTGTTGGACATTCAGACGAATAGGCGTTTGTGTTCCTAGTAATCACATTTTAGTAATAGTATTACCTAACAATAATTGGAAAGTTTTGTTTTGCTACCGGTGTAAATTTGCAACGTCTGTACGAAATTGACAGCAAAACGCATTATTTTAATGTTTACCTTTTTCCGAGTGCATACTTGAATCTTCGAGTGTTATACTGTAAATGTGAATTTATACTTTCTGGTATGTAGCACATGCTAATGTTGAATAGAAAATAACTTGCATGCGAGTATGCAACCTAATTCTTTTGTAAGCGACATTCTAATGGATAATTCCTTCCGAGATTATCGAGGATATATTTGTTGTTTGAAGAATTCCAAGTTTGAGAACAAAACCCGTGTTTAATACAGTACAACTAAATCTGTGCACATTAAAAAGCCCACGTGTATGTAACGTATCATTGGGTACACCATGTTTAAGTCAGACAAAAACAGATCGTTTGTACCATGTTTAAGTCAGACTCAAAGCCAGACTGTTCGTATCTGCACATAAGAAGAGATGTACTTGCGTTGAAAACGACGGCTCTAGAAGATTCGATTGCATATATCCACTATTTATCAACTACGATCGATCATCAAACAAAGAAAAGTGCAAATATGTTGCTGAAAACTCTAAATTCAAAGTCATCCAATCCAAATCGCTAGCGTCTCCTATAAAACCAAATCATTAATGTCTTTCATTTCAGGTACTTGCAAAGTTTAAATAGAATTGCTCCTGACGACGCTGATGACAGTGAAACGATAAAATCATTACTGTTGCTATCAACTTTCATGTCATCTCAAAAACAAAAAGCTAAAAATTCAAAATATCCGGAGATCTTATTCTGTATATTTGATATGCTGTATATCGACAGTTTAATTAATAATACCTGAGTATAATAGCTTGCATTTGAGGTTTTTATTGAGATTGTTCTTAACATTCGTTTTGCACTGGAAAAGAAATACCCGGTATCCCAAATAGTACTTATCATGCATGCTCTTAAGAAAGATTGGTCAGTTCGCTCCGCAATAAGGCTTTCTTTATTTATTCTCGCTTATGCAAGTGACTTAATATGTACCCCCATTCGTGCAGTTATACATGTGTCACTGCCAATCATTTTACCATGTTTATCAATCCTTTAATAAAACTTTAATTTAGCGATTAATTTCTGACCGTCAACATAAACTCAGCAGACCAATGTCAAGACAGAACTTGCCGCTACTTACATGCAACTGATATGAGCTCCGTTATAATGTGAGACAACAGGTTGGATAAGGTATCGTCACTGGCCTGCTAATGAAATATATATTGGGTTGACATTCGTAATTATTGCTCTCGATCACTCCAATAGAAGAGTATGAATTAAGCTTAGGTTAGCGAGCACATACATTCCTTGCCATTGTATGCTCAAAACAAGACATTTATCATTGTCTTGCAATACGCTAGTCGTCGGCTAAAAAATAAACACATATAGCTTCCTAGCTTACTCAAACGGTTATGGATTCACTTTCTGACGCTGACGGGTTAATTGTAAAAGATAAAGTCAAACATGCCGCTAGAGGCAGAGGCATTGACGTTTCTGTGACAGCTGGTGGAGTTTCTGCAGATGTTAGTGTTGGTGACAGTAATCCACCTCCACTTCCATCCCCTCCCCCTCTGCCGTCGCCGCCTCCGCCCCCTCCACCCCCTCCACCACCCACTCCCAGTAACGATAATAAACCCAGCAGTAGTCCCGGGCAGGACCCCAAACCCGTTCCTGACAATACTAACGTCGCAGGTGCGACTCCGACAAATAATGCGAACAGTCAGAATAGCCCTAATGTCGACAATTCACCCCAAAATCCAAACAAACCAACGAACAATGGTAATACTAATAATGGAGGGCAACCAAATAACAATAACAACCCAGGTAAACCAGGGGCATCAGCAACAGGTAGATGTCATTGCTATTCTATCAGTAAACTTACGTTATCACGTTTAACGTACGTGTAATATTTACAATAACTTTAATTTTTTATTTTCAGGAACCGGGATCAGTATTAACAATCCAACCGTCTCGCCAAAAGTAGCAATAGACACAGCTTTATCTACCGACTTTTCATCATCACCACCCGACCCGAATGACCCTTATATTACATCAACATCAACCGCTACATCTTCTCCCGACTTTTCGTCTTTACCATCATCATCACCATCGTCGTCACATCATTCTGTAGTTTTAGTAGCTGCTTCTGTAACACTCGTGTGTATGCTAATATTCTCCATATTTGCGCTGTACTTGAGAAGGCGTAAGAAAGTATCAGCAGAGCTTCAAAATTCGAAACCCGAGAAAAGCTATTTCGATTGGGGTAAGACAGGAGGATGGCGTGCAAGAATTAAATCTGCGATAGGGGGAAGAACCGAGAAAAAGAGGCAAGATACTTTTTACGGGGATACAGTCAGGTTACATATTAACGAGAAAGCAGTTGAAAACAATGAAGAATATCCAGTTACAGAGGATGACGCTTTCGAAATCGATGATCCCATTGAATACTATGCTATTGAGTATTTGGAAGTACGAAACTACGAGACCTCATCTAGTAGTGGCATATCGATAAATACAACTACGTCGTCCGGTCTTGACAGCGACACTGCTGTCTTTTCATCCGAGCGATACGAGCCGGAGAATGACAGCATAAAGGATACTAGTACTATCGACTCTTCGTGTAGCGATTACCCGCTCAGTCCAACAGTACCACCCCAATTATTCATACCTACATCAGTACTCACATCCTACGTGGATCCAATCGATCTCTCGGTTTCACCGATTTCGAGTAGCTTCTACGATAATACAGACACTGTAGGCAATAAGAGATTATCATCCTCAACAGGGTATTCAAGCACATACATATCAAGCGACAATAACAACGTTTTCCCAAGACTAAAATCGCCGATACCTTCAGTAGCTTCTAATCGGTCGTCAATGTCATCTCTACAGGTAGAAGTAATGACACAAACGTTGTCGGATCTCTTGACATCAAACGGAGGAATGGTAATTGTAGAAGCGAATGAGAAAGAGAAGAAAGCACCTCGAACCACGCCAGCTGACAAAAAAGTCAAAGTCATGAAGCTGAAAGAAGACAAAACCAGGTCATGGGCGAAGGGATTTAAGAAATCGATAGGATGATGTAATATGCACAGTGATCGAAATGTAGAAACATGTATTGATTGTACTAAATTAATGTTATATAGTAATACGTGTATTAGGTAGAATATTATATAATTTACTTATTGTCGTTCTAAATTTAACGTTAATGCAAAATTCGCATGACACAAACGCAAGACGTTTTTTCAAAGTATCAATTGTTTGTTATCCGTGCGACTTTATAAAATGATGTGCAACCGATCATCCAACTACGCCAAACCTAACAATAAACAATGGTGTTTAGTTATTCAATCATACGAGACATCGATCGTGAAATGTGGCAAGCGAAGCGTGCAAAGCACCGTACAACCAACCGATCGTAATGACGAGAAGTCGCTCAAGTCAACTTTTGAAATAAGAGGGAAAAAAACCCCAATGGCAAACTTTTACTACAACATAAATTTTAGAGTTCATGTTAATACAATTTCTAATTTGCTTGGCATTCTCATTCGTAGCATTGCAGACTTGTGCAAATGTTTATACGAAATGTCATATCTTCGCCTAATAAAATCCGAATAGTGCACCCTGAGACTATAGGTTAAGTGGGTTGTCTAAATGACGTACAACAGTAATGTAACAACGTGTAACATTGGTTCGCTTAATTCATTGGTGCTACGCGCGCATTATCCTCAACACAAATTCTATACAAAAAAGGACAATCACTGTTATCAAATTAAACAGTTAAACAGTCCGGCTCGTCTTTAGCGAATCATATCAAGGTCTTTGCCAATCTCGAGAATTCTGTCAACAAATTTAAAACACGAGGCACAAAGTTTGTGTTCAACGATTCCAGATAAAAGCATTGACAGAATGCAACCAGTATCGACAAGTAAATATCCGCTTGGCCTTTTGATATGGCAAAAGTCAAGTTAGTTTAAGTGTAATGTGCTTTTACACTTGGATTATATATTTGAAAATACAATTGCATTCGTTTATACTCTTCCAAACTAATATCTCGGAGATATTGCGTAAATAACACTCTTTTATTTTTACAAGTCCTCGTTATTCTGTCGAACAGCAAACCCCTCGTCAATTTACTTTACACTCACCGACATTTGGATGAAATTGATATCAACTGGTAGTAATACCAACGACGCAACCAAGACTGTGGCTTTAAATTCGGAATTGCCAATTGTCAACCCGATTGTACAGCATCTGGCAGCAGGAAAGCCACCAGCACCTAATAGTACTAATAAGCCTTGTGTGGCAAAAACAACGAAATCATCCCGGTTAAAACAAGATGTGTCAACACAACTCTCGTCGCCTTCCTCTAAAACAGCATCCGGCTTGCAAAGTGCCTCTGTAACTGCATTCTCGGTACCATCAAGCACGTCTGCGCCATCCGTTTCTTCTGTCTCTTCATCGTCCACTTCGACATCTCCGGCATTGAACGCATTCTACATAGGCTTGCCAGTGCTCATACTCTTTGGCCTCTTCTTTAGCATTTTTCTACGTGTATACCGTAAGCGTAGGTCTTTACAGCGTGCTTTATCAACAGAGCGTCTACGCACGACCAGATCTCCATCCGATGCGTCTATCAAATCCTGTAGATCCGGAAAACCTTTCCTTAAATTTGAAATGATGACCGACTCGTTGCAGAGGGCCGCAGATGGAAAAGTAATTGATAATGTAAGGGTTCTTCCAATGGCTCACCACAAAGAATCAAAAGTTGCGGGAAGAAAGATGAATGAAGATTTGACATCTTCAAGGAAAGACAATGTAATAGTGATAGTCGAACGAATTGAAGAAGAGCCATAAATGGACAATAGGGATAGTCAACTTCTTGGTTTTAGAGAAAACTGAAGCAGGTCTAATATCGAGTGAGAGTGGAATTATGTTTTGTTGAATTTCTATAAACAGTTCTTGTATATAATATGAATATTAGAAGTTATCGACAAGCTTGATGGATTTAAGCAGTTTTTTGGTTAGATTCTAGACTGTGCTTCATTACGTAAATACTGTACATGCTTTTATTTTCCCAATCTCACTTTTGTATTCATGCAGACACTACATTTTAAAAAACACTAATGATTTTTGATGAATAAACAAAAATAATAATAACTGGTTTTGTTATAATCAAGATATCTGACACGTGAAACTAACCCAACTTTGGCATATAAATCGCACTGAAAAGAATTCTCGCAGGAGTGCACTCCAGTCCACAGGTTTTAATGGGACAACGTTATTTCGACGTACCTGCATTTTACTATCGTCGTCAGTATTAGAGAGGGGAACAAAATTGATCAAAGCTTGTTATGCTCAAAGGCGTCACAGCTACAACAAAGTTTGTCATAATTACTAGTAATTTCGTCAGCCTATAAATGACTTTTTTACTAATAACGGGAAACTCAACCAATCATTCAATTTTTTCAATATAAATACACTCATCCGTGACAGGTTACACTTTAATTAGAGTCTGATACATCGATGTAAAACGAACAAAAATGTATGGGGATTCCGTGGATTGAACACGGGACCTACAGATCTTCAGTCTGGCGCTCTCCCAGCTGAGCTAAATCCCCATGATTAATATTGGCTTAATTCAATAACTATATAAAGTATAAAACAATTGTCGAGACCCAAGAAATGAAGAAATACCATCACCCCTGATATGTTATCGCTGCAATATTTGAGTTCTACGAAACATGAGTTATATAATATTGTTGTCGGAATAAGGTTTAATAGCTTTATTGGGGGTAATAGTACGTAGTATAATGAAACGAACTATCCCCTTTTTCACTAAAAACTTTTTTCCGCTTACAAACGGTAGTTATATATTATTGGAACCTCGCATAGTAATAATGTCACACGTATTATACGTATAGCGATTTTTCAGATTACCATTACTAAATATTCGTTTCACGCATTATCATACGAAAAGGCGAGCAATTTCGCAAGTATGCAACTCTTACGTTAAATTCGAATTCCTGTTTATAATGAAAGTGAAAATCAACAGCTCATGCTGTTGTTTGCACAAGTAAGACCAAAAAAAAAAAGTTAAATTGTCTAGAGCATCGTTTATTTCATCGGTTACGTTAATTCGGAAAAGATTTTCCTCGCTAGTAAAATAGATAGTTTTGCTGCGGGAGCGTGACTTCTGATAGCATTGTATTGATCGTATGATTGATAAAGCATCATATCGTATGACACTGTTGATAGATACACACCGGAAGGTCATAAAGAGAGTTTTTACCAAGTTCTTTTGTCCAGCGCCTTGATCTGATTACGTACGTAACTATACGAATAATTGCTGTCAATGAAGATCAATAATGCGGAAAGTTCTTCCGTAAACTAGAATATTATCTCACAGAAGCTAAATGCGGGTCGAGAATTATAACGCATAGAAATTCGTAGATGTATTGGCCGCGGTTGACAAATTCTCACACAATGGTAATACCATATTTCTAGATTTAGAATATGAGATAACAGTCCTACCTCATTTACACATCCAGGGATATAATCGAGGCACGATCATTATTATTATGCATTATAGGGCATGGGAAATCGGGACCACATGGTTTTGGGGATAGTAATAGGGATTACACCCGGGGAAAAAAGTATCGACAAAATTTGCGAAAAATATTTTTCTTCAAAGAGCTTTATTGTACGTATTTACTATCTAAGTCACAACGATTTTCGTACCGGTTTGAAGATAATTGATTGTACTTTTCAAGAAAATTTAGTCCCGTTCCCGTTCTGAAGCTTGCATTTCGATGAAGTGGAAGTACATGTATACTGTATATGTTACACATGAAATTCATATGTGTAACATAGATAGTAACTGATCGAAAAATTTTTTCAAAAATTATAACTTACATAGTAAATTAGTAATAGAGCTCTTTTCAGAAAAAGAATTTTCATAATTGATCGGATACAAACGAGTAGATTTATACTGATATACAATAAGGGAAAATCCGTCCAGCTTAAAAACTGGGATATGTCGAGGTTGGGATACAATAGGGGGGAAGGTAGGACTGTATTGCAAATTAAACGACATTGCATAGATTAATATATTTAATGTCCAAATCTTGCTGTCAACCATTGGCATATTATTTTTAGTTCGTTGTCCTCCCAAGCGATCCGAAGATCGAAATGTAGATCTTAACTGGCGTGACTGCACAAAACTTGGGCCACTGGTAGCTGCCTCTTTATCGGCTTTTATTTTCTTCTTCTACATGTGAGTACATGGATAAAAACAGCTTAAACCGGACTTAGTGAGCACCTCGTTGTGAATAAAAGTTCCTCGCGATAGTAATTGATTGGTCTCACAGTTAGTGGAACAATATCTGCAGTAGGACGCCAGAAAAAGGCTATTTTTTTCAATAAACTTACACAGATTGGAAGCTAAATATAGATGTGGAGTACGATTTTTGTATTCGCATATTATTTATATGATCGTTCCTCTTCATTCTTTAATCACTGTTTGTAATGCTAATGATACATTATATTCTCCTGTCTCTTGTGACAACAGTGATTTCGTTTCATTAGAAACTTCGCTGCTCTCGATGTGAGTGAAAGTTAATTGTTATGTACGACAAATTAGATTAGTAAAAGGTATAACGATAACTTATGTCACGTTTTTAGAAATTATTAATTAGAGATTTCAGGGGTCATTGTTCATACAATTTGAGAAAATGATGAACACAATTTGTGATCATATTCCCAAACTTGGATAAATCAGCGGAGACCAAATTCCGTTCATGCACCATTATAAAGAAGTTTAGAATAACATATTTCACTTGGCCATGTCCAAAACTTTATAAATACGCAAGCTCCACAAATTATCGATTGAATGATTTTCCTGCAACGGTTTAATTCTAATATATAAATATTTACAGTCTAAGATGGCTAAGATAGCTCGGCAAAGAAACAACCGGGAAAGGTTTCTAGGCGTATTCAGTGGTTTAGGCAATAATGTTAATAATATGATTGGTGCTGGAATTTATTCATCTCCTGGTAAAGAGAAAAGCTTTGGGTACTTTGGTATGTAAAGGGTTATCATCATTCACCGTGATTATTAATCACTCTAGGCACTGTATGGCGAAACGTCGGATCACCGTGGATAGCTTTACTGTTGTGGTTGCTCGGCGGGATTGCTAGTTTCGCTGGAACGTTAACTTATACAGAGGTAAGTAAAATATCGAAGTACTAAATATCACGTGAATTCCGAACCGATTTTCAATAATAATAACATTATACATAAATTGTCTTTACGTAGTTGGGAGCTCAGTTTCAAATTGGTGCTGGGGAGACAACTTACCTGGAACACAGCTTCCCGAGACCCCGTCTCCTCCTCAGCTACTCGTTCACCATGGTGTATATAATGTGAGTACAAGAAAACAATCGATCAGTTTCGCTAGATAATGGATGGGATATTGACTGTTGCTTTTAGATTAATTCGACCTGCTGGAATATCAGCGGTGGTAAATGTTTGCGCCCAATACTTGCTATTTACGCTGGGATTAAATGGCAAAGGATGCGAGTTATACGAAGAGTTTCATCCTCTATATTTTAACGGACGCAATTTCTGGTAATAAACCACGATTCAAATATGACATTTTAAATAGAAATTATCTATGAATTATTTGCTTATTTCTTGTTTATTATAGGAGACTCAAGTTAACTACAGTGGCAATTCTTGCGGTGATAGCTTTGTACCATTCACTCTCCAATAAATGGTCGAATAGGATCAACCAGGCGTTGGTTACGACAAAAGTCTTAACGGTATTAACTGTTGTCGTACTCGGACTATCATTCGCAAAAGCATCGGCAGAGAGGGTGAACAGCAAAAACGTAAATTGGGACATGTTTTCTCCCGCCAGTCCAGACTTTTATCAGAACGTTAGCGCTACGGAATGGATTCAAAGATATATAACCGCAATGCTAACGATTCTGTTTGCGTACGCGGGCTGGAATAATCTCAATTGTAAGCATTAAGTTTAGCGTATCAAATATTTCGTGATCTGCATATTTAATCACGATTTGACTTACTTTCTCCAGACCTCACTGAAGAATTTGATAGGGGAGAATCATCTAGGAATCTCCTGATAAGTAATGCAGGAGCAGTCGGGATAGTCACAGTGTTGTGTAAGTAATATCGTTTAATCGAAATACAGCTTTGTTCAATCTTTATCACTAACTTATATCAAACAGATCTGCTGGCCAATCTTGCTTACACGGCGGTGCTGAACGTTGCCACCGTAATCGGAACTAAGGGGACGGATCCTAACGAAATTATAGGCGTTTATTTTGCTGCACAGATCGACCAGGGGGATGTCGATATTGTTGGTTCTAATGTTACCTTGGCAAAAATCAAAGCAGCGCGTGCGTTGAGTTTTTTCATCGCTCTCAGTGCTTTCGGTGCTGCTGCCGTGTTGATGCAAAGGTAAAGGATTGGATTAAAAAATCATTACAATCTTAACTTATAAGTAAGTCTAATTCACGTCTATCTCATTAAACTTAGTGCTTCGAGAGTGGTAGATTTAGCAGGCCAGCACAATTACGTTCCATTTATTTCTGGGTGGCTGTCCACGTGGAATGACAGGCTCGGGACGCCCGTAAATTCTTTCATCTCCCTCTTTGTTTGGTGCTCTATATTGACCATGATAGTTCCGGGCAACAGTTCATTCGAGTTTTTAGTCAAGATCGAGCAATACACAATGTACTTTTTCTTCCTCCTCGCAGCTATTGGTGCATTGGTATGTGTATTATTTACTGAGAACTACATGACACTTGTTTGCTTATTCGTATTAATGAATGTCTACGTTCTGCTAATCTTTGAAACAGGTATTACGAAGGAGAAATAGACAGCAAGAGAGACGTACATATAGGGCACCTTTAATTATCATAATTCTTTTCATTTTGTTCGCGTCGATCATTGTTGCTCTCTCGTGGGTGCCACCAAAGAGCGGAAGCGCACCTCCAACAAATTCAACAACTTCTTTAACAGATTCAACAACTTCCCCAACTCCAAACATTGCATGCTCAAAATCCAAACCTGTCAATACTTATGCCGTTTATGGTACTAGCCTCGGAGTTCTGATTTTGACTGGCGTGTTATGGCGACTTATGAGAGGTCGATTTACCGAAGAGAGCGAAACAGAAACAGAGAACGGACATGGCCCCCGTGTTTGAAATGTTGATAGAATCGCATATTTACACACTTATCAACAACATCGGGCCCCCAGACTAACGTCCTGATTATAGATTATATTGTAAAAAAGAGTAACTAGATATAGTAACGATAATGTATTTATATTTCTGTATACAATATATTATAGACATTATTTAATACAATGACGAGTGCAGTATGATACTGCGCACTGTAGTCAGTTAGCTCTTAGTAACACTTACTAAAGTAGATAGAGAGCGCAGTTTGTCTGAGCAAAGAGATATGAAACGAATAGCATACAATTAACATTTATTCTGCATTAAAGAGATTGCAGTATTCTTGATACATATTTATCGATTTAACGTGTAATGCGTTTCTTATAGTTTCACCTTCTCATTTATTTAAACGTCGATAGAAAACGATTCGTGTTTGCATTATTTTGCGTGTGGAAACAAGAAAACTTCAATAGCATCCCTATCCAACAACACTTCTCAACATACAACGAAAGCTTAGGATGATTTCTCAATGGCACGTGTAGTTCACCCGTCAAACAAGTTACTGTGAAGAGGTTTATCGATTTCGCGTAGTTAAGTTGCAAAGGCATTTGCAGACCTTTTTCTGTTTTCGCTGTTGATTTCCAAACCTCAGACATTTGTAGACTCTTTTTGACCTGAGTGGAAAAAAAAACCAATATTCGTCTGTAACAAGGAGCTTTTATGAAAAGGGACGCAGCCATCTGTCGGGTCATAGAATCAGGGCAAGCCTTAACACCCACAGGAGGACACGACCCACTCTCACCAGACCAAGACGCAGCTGTGCGGGGGTCAAAATAAAAGCTCACAGTATCAGACAAAAAAAATGCTAATACACTCCCGTCTCAGAAGTCACCGACCACCTCCTAAATTTACGATTAAATGAGAGTATTGGCAATGCAATTACTGTGAAATTAATACTAAATTTAGCACACCTTATAGGTAACATATACACAAAATATTGTAATATGATAGATAGTAAAATTACGAGAGCCGACGTTTATTCTACGAAAGACGTTAAATTAGGGTATGCGACTCGAACGTTTGAAAAATTGTTAAAATTAATACACATATAAATTTACACAAATTTATATTAATTCAAAAGCGCAAAGAAGCGCTATTATATTTGTAAATATTGTCCGAATATCTTGCTTCTTTGTTGAGAAATTGAATTTTGAATTTAGAGTATTATTCAGTAGTCACCCCTACATAGGCAAACCCGATAAGTCGGATTTGGCTTAACTCGGACAAAAATTTTCGGCCCCTTTTTTGAATAGTTAAAAATTTTCGATAAGTCGGACGACATATATATAATCGCGATAATAATAAGTCGTAACTCGGACAATCCTGTCGACCAGATTATAACTCGATAAGTCGGACACGTGATTTTTTTACGGATAATCTTTACTATTTTAGTAACGTAACAAAATACATAATTACCCAATAAGCATCTAAACAATATTTTATTATCTTATGTCATCGTAATATATCATTTGTAATACATTATACAATTGTCTTAATCG